TGCACAACCTCCTTTCAACCACCACGATTACCGGCAACTTGTCTCCACACGTCAAGTGGACAGGAACCAAGGGGGATACCTCCATGCTCCGCGTATGGGGATGCATGGTTCAATACCGCCCGCCGACATCAACCATCGGCAAGTTCGCCAGCCGCGCGCGCTGGGGGATTCACCTCGGCATCAGCCACGAATACAAAGCGTCGACCGTGCTGGACCTCCTCAGCCAGAAGACCGTCCATGCCCGCGACGTAATCTTCTACGAGCGTCTCTTCCTCGACCAATTCCGCCACGACAAAGAAACGAACGCAAATCGCGTCTACGCCAACGATGGCCACAGCTATGCCACGCCTGAAGACGAAGCCGCTGCAGCAATCCTGGAGCAAGACACAAGGGGAGAATTCGCATGGGAGAACCGGCGCAGCAGCGACGACGACGACGATAACTCCTCGGAAGGAGGAGTAGGCGGAAGCGGAACAGGCGGAAGCGGCGGAGGCGCAGCACCACCAGCACCACCTGAACCTGAAAGCGATGACGACGACGTGCAGGAAGTCATCCCGCAACGTCGCCACGACAGCACCGTTTCGGGGCTGCAGCTGCTTGGGCTTCACGCTGCAACCTCGAAGGCGCCACGCATCATCGAGCCCCGAAAACCGTGCGAGGCTCTCTCTGGACCACACAGCAAGGAGTGGCGTGAGGCGATGGACACGGAAATCAAGGCATTAGAGTCACGCAATACCTGGCTGCTCGTCGACCGCGCAGCAATCAAGGGCGCAAGAATTCTCTCGGGGAAGTGGGTCTTCCGCGTGAAGACCGCAGCGGATGGAACGATCGAGCGCTTCAAGGCGCGCTGGGTGGTTCGCGGCTACGATCAGAGGCACGGGATCGACTTCGATCAAACGTTCGCCCCAGTTAGCCGTCACACCTCCGTCCGCATCTTGCTCGCCATCGCAGCTGCAAGGCACTTACCACTCCGCCAGATCGACGTGAAGAACGCGTTCCTGTACGCGTTAGTAGACGCCGTGATTTACGTGGAGCAGCCACACACCTACGGCGAAGGAGACGCACGCGTGTGTCAGCTGCGAAAATCGCTCTACGGCATCAAACAGGCACCGAGGCTGTGGCAGCAGTACCTGCACAACATCCTGCTTGAAATCGGGTTCAAGCAGATGCCGCACGACCCAGGAATGTACCGCCGCGATTTCCGCGGCGAATACATTCTCCGTCACGGTGTACGTCGACGACCTGCTTTACACAGGCTCAAACAACGAGCTTCTCGAGCAGTTCGAAAAGGCTCTGGCGGGGCGCGTCGACATCACGTGCAACTACGAGGTGAAGCAGTTCCTAGGCCTCAACATCTCCTACGCACCTGAGGCCATTCACCTCTCAGCGGCCAAGTACGCAGAGGAGTTAGGGAAGCGGTTCAACATCTCACCTGCACCCCTCTCAACTCCCTACCGAACCCCCGGACCGAACCACAAACCTGACAACAAAGCCCTATCCCCTGCTGGGATTCAGACTTACCAGCAGCAGTTGGGATGCCTTCTCTTCGCCTCTGTCACCTGCAGGCCAGACCTCTCGTACATCGCAAGTCAGCTTGCGCAGTACTCACGCAAACCAACGGCTGAGAATCTCCTGGACCTGCAGCGCGCCCTTCAATTCTTCGTTTCAACGCCCAAGATTGGGTTGTGCTACTCAACTGCACCAACTCCATCTTTCAACCTCATCGGCTACGTGGACGCCGATCACGCAGCAGATCCCGATAATCGACGGTCCAGGACTGGCTTCCTGTTCCGACTCGAGCCATCAGGACCAATCTCCTGGAATTCACAGAAGCAGGAGTTGGTTGCCCTGTCATCAGCCGAAGCGGAATTTATCGCAGCAACCGCAGCAGTTCGCGAGGGCCTCTACCTGCAGGAACTTCTGCAAGAGGCGAAAATTCCAGCTTCGCCCACATTCCGCCTTCACTGCGACAACCAGAGCGCGATTCGCATCGCGAACAAACCTGGTTTCGTCAACCGCACCAAGCACATCGCGCTGCGGTACTTCTTCGTGAAGGACGAGGTGGACAAGGGCAAGGTCAACTTGACCTACTGCCCGACGGGTGACATGGCAGCAGACTTCCTCACGAAGCGACTGCCACGCCAGCAGTATCAGCACTGCTCCGAACTCAGCGGCGTGGTCAAGCAGGTCAAATCGAGCTACGGCCAGGAGTGAAGGGGGGTGTTACGAATAAGTAATAGTTGATATTACTGTGCACTCCTCACCGCAGCAAAAGAAGCAGACAATATCGGGAATGAACGCGAACCGTCAGACAGTTGGAATCGAACCGAAGAGTCAGACGGTTACAGCGCATCTGGACCGTCGGAGCAGATGGCATCGGGCAGCTTCACGCAAGATGTTTTTGGCGGGAACAGTTACGAAACTGTACGCGCCGCACGGTTGGGAATGAATTTGAATAAGGGAATGTACCCCTTAGAGTACATGGCTGTTGAAGTAGGTAGAGGATCCTAGGCTTAGGAGAAACCCTAGCCTTGGAGAATGTCGAGAGGGGCGAGAGAGGAGTTGGCCAAAAGAGGGGTAGTTCACTATTGAGGAAGGTACAAATAGGAAATACAACATGCAAAGGTGTACCACCAACAGTTCATAGTAGTAACTACAGTAACTAGCGTAAGCAGGATATAACATAACTTGACACACCCCCTTAGCCTGCTTGCGGTAGGAACTGGTGCAGTCGGCACCCCCTGAAAGAGTAAACCAAGCGCTGTGGAAGAAGGCAGAGAGGTGAGGAAGGACGTGGAGGCGAGAGGAGAGGAGAGAAGAGGAGAGGAGGTGGGGGGCCAGTGCCGGCGGACCCGCTTACGAACCTCCGTTTACGAAGGGGAGGTGAGAGAGGAAAGGGAGAGGAGGTGGGCTAGGTGGGCATGAGCGCGCAAGCTCATAGCGATCCCCCCCCGTTAATAACCCCCAAGTCCCGATGAGGAGAGGAGGTGGGCATGAGCGCGCAAGCTCATAGCGATCCCCCCCCGTTAATAACCTCCAAGTCCTCACCCCCCTTGTCACTCAACCCCTTGAACCTCACACCCTCCGCACCTTTCTACTTTCGCCACCCCCCCTCACCCTTCTCCACTTCCCCCCCCCCCCCTTTCTCCACAGCGACATCTCTGCAGGAAGAGAGAGGGGAGGGACGGGCTGCAGGCAGCTCACACCCGCCACCCCCACATCTCCCTATCCCCCCCCCCACCACGACGGAAGCCGCGGAAGGGAGGGCGGGGGGGGGGGGGGGGGGCGGCGGTAGCTGCTGCTGGCGCTGACTTTGGCGCAGGCGGCTGGCCACGACGCTGGCGTCCGCGCTGGCGGGCCGCGCTGGCGACGAAACGGGGGGGCGCGGGCAACGGGAACGGGGGGCCGCGGGGCGACGAAACGGGGGGGCCGCGGGCGACGGGAACGGGGGGCCGCGGGCGACGGGAACGGGGGGCCGCGGGGCGACGAAACGGGGGGCCGCGGGCGACGGGAACAGGGGACCGCGGGGCGACGAAACGGGGGGCCGCGGGCGACGGGAACGGGGGGCCGCGGGCGACGGGAACGGGGGGCCGCGGGGCGACGAAGCGGGGGACCGCGGGCGACGGGAATGGGGGGCCGCGGGGCGACGAAACGGGGGGCCGCGGGCGACGGGAACGGGGGGGCCGCGGGGCGACGAAACGGGGGGCCGCGGGCGATGGGAACGGGGGGCCGCGGGGCGATTCGGGAGACCCGCGAGGCGTATTACGGGATGCGCGACGGGTGGGCCCATGATCCTTAAAAAAAAAAAATGGTCCCAAGACCGTAGTGGTTCTGATAGCATGTTGAAGTAGGTAGAGGATCCTAGGCTTAGGAGAAACCCTAGCCTTGGAGAATGTCGATAGGGACGAGAGAGGAGTTGGCCAAAAGAGGGGTAGTTCACTATTGAGGAAGGTACAAATAGGAAACACAGCATGCAAAGGTGTACCACCAACAGTTCATAGTAGTAACTACAGTAACTAGCGTAAGCAGGATATAACATAACTTGACAATGGCTAGTTAGGTCGTTTCGTATTCCCTTGTACTCATATTTATATTTCTTGTATTTGCATGTTTTAATTCATCTCAAAGCATTTTACATTCACTCTGCTATTGAGGTCAAGGGCCCACCAAACTATCTCACTGCGTGCGAACCTTCCCGGGTAGATCCTGGGCTACGATCAATTTCTGATCGCAGCAAGAATGCCTTAGAGCTCAAATGAATAAAAAAAATCACGTCTGAGAATCAGAAATTCAGACCAAATTGGTCCGATAACGAGAGGCCTGGCACTAAGTGTTAAATGAGTACAAAATGTGAGCGAAGGCATGAGCGAACATTTATACGCGAAACATGCAAACGGTAACGCGGTGCGTGCGTGCGAGCTAGCCAGTCTCCGCTGGCAGCGAGGTTCGGGCTAGTCCCGAAGCGTAGGCCGACACGGCCGGGCCAGCAGTGCATGGTTTGGTGAAACAGTGCGCGCGAAGTTGGCGCGTTAGCATGGCGAACAACGGCTGCTGCTGTACACGATGTTGCAAGTCTCAGTAAGGAATGGCGAGAAAATTCCTAACACATGTCATGTGGAACTCGGGCTTTAATTTTGATGCAGAATGCTGATGATTTTCGGTACAGTGAATCCGTAAAACCCTGTGCCATGCGGCACACTCGCATTGGTATTTCCGCCGCCGCTGATTGGCCAGCGTCACTACTATCGGCAACATCAAAGTCGAGCGGAGGTACAGCACCGCATACGCCAGCATCAGAATCAGCACTCCGTTTTAGTACCTGTGTCGGGACGCGACTGCACCGATCCCATTATTAGTCGCCTAGGAGCCTCCCGCACGAATCAGCTGCGTGCGATCCGCGCTCACCTGAGAACTGCTGGGCTCCCGCGCGTTCCGCGTCCGGCGTTCCGCTTCCGCCCTTTCCGCTTCCGGGGCGACGCAGCGCGATCGCAGTGCCAGCCATGGCGGGCCTTCTCGCGCAGCCTGCGCGCGTAACGCGGGTGGCCGTCCCCGCGTCCTCTCCGCTAGCATCCGCCGCCTTCATTTCCCCTAGTCGCTTTTCTGCCGCCGCTCACGGCCGGATAGCGGCGCGGCAGCGCAAGTCGCTGGCCGTTAGAGGTACGGAGAGGAGCGAACGGATTCCGTGATCGTTGTGCGGCTTAGCGCGTACGCGCGCGGATGGTTAGGCGCTCGAGGCATGTGCGCTGAGAGCTTGAACGAGAGTACGGTAGGAATAGAAGCGAACGGCTGTTCTTCCGCTTCGCTCGCTAGAAGCGAACGGCTGCTCATCCGCTCCGGTCGCTAGAAGCGAACGGCTGTTCATCCGCTTCGATCGCTAGAAGCGAACGGCTGTTCATCCGCTTCGGTCGCTTCTTCCCGCCGTGTTCGTCACTGTTTTCGTCTTTCCTTCCGCCTCTTCCCTGCCTTATACCCGCCTCGATCTCCCTTGCGTTCTTGGCTGTTTGCCCCGCCTGATTGGCTGAGGGACAGCAGCGGCGGCGGGCGATTCGAGTGGCGACGGCGACAATGTGGTAACCCTGCTGGACTACGGCGCGGGAAACGTGCGAAGCGTGCGAAACGCCATTCGCCTGTTGGGTTACGAGATCAACGACGTGAGTGGCGAGGATGGATTATCGTTACGTGCAGAGGGTTCTACTCTTGGGGGCTTCTGCTTCTGCGAGTGGAATGACGGCCGTAGGGTGGGATGACGGCCGTAGGGTGGGATGACGGCCGTAGGGTGGGATGACGGCCGTAGGGTGGGATGACGGCTGTACGGTGGGATGACGGCCGTAGGGTGGGATGACGGCCGTACGGTGGGATGACGGCCGTAGGGTGGGCCCAGAATCACTCATTCCGGCAGCTCTGACCGACTAAACCGACCGTCTCATTCCCGCGTATCCCTCACCCTCCCCAGACCTCCGCCCTCCCCTCGCCCACCCATTCTCCCGCTTTTTCCCCCGCCTACTTTCCGCGCCTCCCCCCGCGAATCCCCCCTCTCTCCCCCAGGCGAACGAGCCGGAATACATCTTAGTGACAAGGAAGCTCAGCTTTTCCTCACCTCCTTCCACCCTCTTTCCACCCTCCTTCCACCCTCCACCCTCCTTCTACCCTCCTTCCACCCTCCTTCCGCTCTCCACCCTTCTTCCACCCACCCATCCGTTTCTCCCCCACTTGTCCCCCTTCTCACCCCTCCGCTCCCACTCGCCTCTTTTCCCCATCCTCCCTCCCCCCAGGTGAGCGAGCCACAGGCCATCCTTGCAATGAAAGTCCATCTCCTCTCCTCTTCCCATCCTCCATCCGTTTCCCACCCACCCATCCCCTCCGTCTTTCCCCCTCACACATCCCCTACCCCCTACATCCACCTGTTCCCTTCCCTTCCCCCCCTCCTTCCCCCCCCCCCCCCCCCCCTTCCCCCCTCCTCCCCTCCTCCCAGGTGAGCGAGCCAGAGGACATGCTTAGCAGCGAAGGAGCTCACGCCCCCCCTGTTCTTTTTGATTCGACTCAAAAGAAGCTTATGCCCCCCCTCTTCCTCCATCCTTTCCCCACCCTCCGCTCCCCCGCCTGCCCCCTTCCCTCTCTCCTTCTCCCCCCCCTCCCTCTCCCCCCCCAGGTGGGCGAGCCAGACGACATCCTGGCAGCCAGGAAGCTCATCTTCCCATTCCCCTCCTTCACCCTCCGCTCACCCCTCTCATCCCCCACACTCTCCCCCTTCCTACCTTCACCGTCCGCTCACCCCTCTCATCCCCCACCCCACCTTCTCCCCCGTCCTACCCCCTGCCCTCCACCAGGTGAGCGAGCCAGACGACATCCTGGCAGCCAAGAAGCTCGTCTTCCCACCCCCCCCCTTCTTCACTCTCCCCTTACCCCACCCCACCCATTGCCATCCCTCCCCCGTCCTACCCCCTGCCCCCCACCAGGTGAGCGAGCCCGAGGACATCCTGGCAGCGCGGAAGCTCATCTTCCCGGGCGTGGGCGCGTTCAGAGCCGCCATGGATGTGCTGAATGAGCGAGGGTAAGGGGGGGGCGATGGGAGAGGGTAAGGGAGAAGTGATGGGTCTCTTACAGACAGGTTACTTTTGAGGCGCCTCAAAATTCAACTCCCTTTCAGGTTATATAAGCCATGCTTGAAGGGGAAACTGGGCGGGCGTGAGCGCGTTCAGGGCCGCCATGGACGTGCTCAGCTGAATGAGAGGGGGTAAGGGGGAGTGATGGCATGGGGGTGGGATGATGACATGGCATGGGGGTGGGGTGATGACATGGCATGGGGTTGGGTTGATGACATGGCATGGGGGTGGGGTGATGACGTGGCATGGGGTTGGGTTGATGACATGGCATGGGGGTGGGGTGATGACGTGGCATGGGGTTGGGTTGATGACATGGCATGGGGGTGGGGTGATGACGTGGCATCGGGTTGGGTTGATGACATGGCATGGGGTTGGGTTGATGACATGTCATGGGGTTGGGTTGATGACATGGCATGGGGTTGG